ACTCAATATTAGTAAAAAAGAGAATTGGGTGCTTTTGAAGAGTTAGCTATTAGATATTCCCATTGCTATATTTTCTACTGACTCTTTTATGGGAGGAATGGAATGAAATGGAGTAATGGAAATGTTAGGTTTAGAGTTTACTTGAATTCCTTAAAGGGAATCCAAAGTAGGTTTTGATGTAATGCAACAATATATCGCATAATTTGCTCAAAATCAACAATGTTCTAACATTCTTTACTAAAATATTTTGCTCAACAGGGGTAGAAATTTTGTCTATTGGTAAACTTTGTCATCAAAGACCTTCTCAGGAAACTTGCATTTATTGTCTTTAGAGCTTAGAGTTTGCTCCTAGACATGGAGTAGTTAGTAGCATCTTAAGAATTATTGACTAGATTGTTTGAATTTATTAGTTTTTTTTTTATTATTTGGACAGGTAAGCAAAATTTCATTTTCAAGGAAATTGGAACTCTTATTAGCTGTAATACATGCACTGTTGAGATAGAAAAACTTCGATAACTCTTCAAGTAAGTGAGGTCAGTTGTACTTCTACTTTTGTTAATTTTTTCATCAAATTCAACCCTTGCCCTACAAAATATCATCACCCTTCATGCGTATTTTATTTACCTCCATAGTTTATGGTGCACTTGGTATCATGACAAAGCAAGTATAAGGAGAATGGGTCAATGATTGCTGTAAAAATTGTATGCTCCTTGGTAGTTATCCTAATTAAGGTTATTATGGCACTTTATATAGTTTGAGAATTAATACTATTTTAGGGTGCTACAAGCTATAGATGCAGGAGATGTTAGCGTTCTTGTGTGGTAGTTTTAAATTTTGGAAAACTTCATCCTGATCTTATGCATTCAAAATATGGTGTCAATTTAAGACTTTTAAGTACATAATCTCTATTAAACAAATGAAAATTTTGAACTTGATTTGATGCCTTATAAAAAGAGAGCCTATGCTATGCTATTTAACTTTAACAGTATGCTTGGGTTATTGATGCATGCCACAAGCTTGTGAAGTTTTTTTCAAGAACAATATACATAGTGTATCTTTTAAATATGAGAATTTTTTTTTTTCACCTTCCTTTAATATGAGGTTAATAGTGCCTGGTGGTATTCAATTTGTTATGTATGCTAATTTCTAGAATTTTTCATATAGATATGGATTTTATTTTCCTATATTTGTTACATATCAAAAAGTGTAATGATAATAGAAGTTTTTTTGTTTATTTGTGTAGGTTTTTGAGGTTGCGTTTAATAAAATAAATGTAGGTGCAAAATAATGAAATCTTAGGATACGGGGATGAGAGAGTATGCAATGATCATGGATTTATAATATAAACATGTTATTGTGCTTTATAAAATTTTATTTCTTGTGCTAAATAATATTTTGTCCATTCATTAATATATTTATTGTTGTACAAAATAAAATATAACTATTGCACTACTCAACTATCCAATGGTTTACTAAAGAATGCTTTTTTTTTAAAGATTCAAAGGGAGATTTGAAGATTTAAAACAATTCTTAGGAGGGCATCCTCATTAAGAACAAAATTATAATAATAAGAAGTTTTAAAATTTTGACTTTATTGGTGATAGTTATGTTGAATAACAATACTAATGTAAAGAAAGGTTGTGTATAATTCATCTAAAATTTTTTTTTTAATATTTTTGATGTAGGTTCTTTATAGTTTTCCTCACATTATGCAAAAGCTTAAATGTGTTTTTTTAATTCAATGGCCAATAAAACTTTTAATTTTTTTCATTTATTATAATTTATTTAATTTATTGGATATTATTATTTTTTATTATTTACCTGTTAAATATAATTATATTCTATCTTTTTAGAGTAAATAATATTATTATTATTAATATAAAAATTATATATTTAAAATATAAATTATATATTTCATGATAAGGTAACCCGTGCGAGAGGCACGGGTATCATCTAGTAAAATGCAAGTATTTACAAATATATGTTTGTGTTTTCGAAAATGACATCCAAGCACAGTCGGCAAAGGCAAAAAAAGAATAGCGGAATGGCGTTTGAGCAAATGCAAGTCAATAAATGTAGGGAACTGCCCTTTTTCCTGTAGTGAATCCTGAAGTTAGTATTGCAATTACATAATGGAGCAAAGTCATGCAAGTGAAATTCGATCTCCTCTCCATAAGGGGACTCGGTTTCTCTTGGATAGATTCTTTAAGACAACTTACATAGTCATAATGTAAGATGTGTAGGGACAAAACTACACGGAGGTTAGGTTAGGTGTGAGCCCTACCCAACCTCAAAAAAATAAAAAATAAAATAAGAAATGAAAAGATTTAAGAGCAAGGTTCCCAAAAAAAAAAAAAAGGAAAAAAGTCCCTACACTCGATTTTCACTGGTTCTGCCCATGAAGACGTGGGTTAATTTGTAGAGAATTCAATTTATTAGTATGTATGATATGAATTAGATGGTAAAAAACTATTCATCTTAAAATAAGATAAAAGAACCTTTAAGGGAGTGGTTCTGTGGTTAAAAATTTGAGATTTTAAGTTGAAGATCTCAAGTTCGAACTTTGAGTCGAGTGAGGAGGGATTTAGAGAAAAGAGAGAGTTATCCTCTCTTGTATAACTCATCATTGTCAAATGTACGAAAATAAGATAAAGTTTTGCCATTTGATAACTATATAACAAAAACACAAACGACTACAAAATTACATATGATCAATGGGTTTTAATAAGGATACTGAATATAATAAACATAAACTTGTAAAAGAAAATGACATAGGAATCAATATAAAAATTTCCATATATCCAGGTACTTATCACTTAGTGTGCAAGATTATCATCCTTGTTGTTGATGATGCCTTGTTGTAAATAGTTGGATCCAAGGTATGACATCTATAATTGTGGAATACACCATCACTTTCCACAATTGTGGAGCTTTAAACTCAACTGTGGTGAATTGTAATAGATCTTTGGGAAAGGACGTATGAAATCGAACCCACCAAAGCACATAACAGATTACTACAATTACCCATTCTTTGTATTGCATGCGAGGTTCCAAGCCAACCAACACCACAAAGCTGTATTTGGTGACAGATAACAATGACCAAATCGTGCATGTGATTCCTTTGGTATTTGTAGAGAGAGGTGACAGATCTTTAGGAAAAAAGCTTTGTATCAAAAAACACAGAACAACGTAACTAATTACTACAAATAACCAGTCTTTATAATTTGCCAAGGGAAATATGGTAAGAGTAAATGCAAAAATCCCTTGTGCAACATTTACAACTATCAAAATTAAACTGTTGATTCTTTTTTTAGTTGTAGAGGGTAGTGAGCTATCTTTGGGATTGAGATAAAACATATGGAATCGGACACCACAAAGCGTAATGCCAATTGCCTTAACTAACCAGGTTTTATAATTGGACATGGGATATTTGAAAAGAGAATACTCGAAGACGCTTTGTGCATTAAGTGCAACAAATGATGAAAAAAGAGAAAACAAGTTGGTGCTTCCAACATTGGTATTCGTGAAGTGATCTTCTTCCAAATCCAACCAGTATTTATCCATCCAACTCTTGAAACTGAATAGCACAAAACAAATGGAGGCAATTATCCACGTTGGAAACTTGAACTCGTATCGGTTGTAAGTAATGGATCCAATGACTCCAGTGATAAAACTAAACATCCCAAGGTCTGTTCGTGGTCGTAATACCACCAACAAACATAGAAAAAAAATTGCAATGCACAACATAAAACTGAGGCTCCTCAAAGAATTATCATAAAATTTTTTAAAAAGAAGAGCTAGCATAAAGGAGGTGAAGTTTGATGTTGAATTTATGGCATAGCTGCAGCTTCCACGGAGAATTCGGAGTTCACTCCAAAGCTTCGAACGTGTTAGCAACTCGAAGCCAACAAGCAACAATAACTGTGTTTTAACCCCTCTTTTATCATATTTTGAACTTAACTCTATATCCAATAGAAGAAATGCAGCGGAGAAGAGGGCGAGTTTACCTATCAGCTTGGCCTTTAGATGACCCTTTGGCGCTTCGTTATTGAACTGCCTTTGGAGGGCTTCTGACAGATTCTTCATCTTCTTTGTAATTGGATCCAACAAAGCTTTCATTGTTGATTGGCAACACACCTTGAGAAATTTCCATTGATTGCTCACCTCCTCTTCAATCCAATCATGTAGAAATATTATCCCAAAGATTAGATTGGTCACTGTCAATAGCGGATGAAACTTAACAACCAACCTCACAATCTTCACAATCTGTGGCATTGCTGTTGAATCTCTCATATCTTCCATTGGGGAGTAAGATGAGAAATAATTCGCAGCATATATAGGTGGTTTATTCCAATGAAATTCTTCGTCAATGGATATTTACTGCTGGTGAACGTTTTTTGTGGGATGGATTAGTGTTGGAGTTGGTCTTCCTTGGACTTGGAATGGTATTTGGTCTTCTGTGGACTGCACTTGTATCGGTATTGAAATTTAGCGTGAGTCTGGGTCATTTGAGGTGACTCTTCAAAGTCGTCAGCCGATATGGGTTTGGAAATTTGGGTGATTTGAGGACGGTGTTCAAAGTCTGGGTCATTAATTTTTTGTGTGGTCTTACCTGGACTTTGATTAGTATTGGTATTTGAAGGTTACTTAGCTTACTTTCCTTCCTCACTACAAAGCTATGTTAATTTTGCAAATACAGGGAGATGGCTTTATCCAACGGTACAGAAAACGAGTTATAACATGACAAAGTAAACAACTTATTTGGGTGGGATTCGACTTAGACTTGCATATATAATAGGCACTGCACGCATGAGGGCACTTCTACCGTGCCAGAGAGGTCCGAACAGAGAATATCCCAACCACCACCGATAAATGATAGGTTGCATAATAAAGAGGAGAGGGATTTATATTTTACAAACTAGATTGCATATTAAAAATATAATATAATTTATAAATTTATTAAAATATTTTTAATAAAATTAATTCATGTTGTAAAATAATTTTTCAAAGTGTAAATGTGAATAAACCAAATTCATGAAATACAAAAGGAAAAACTAAAACATGCAATAATAGCCCATAATAAATTCAATAAAATTATAGCCCTTATATATTAGTAGATGTGATTGAATGCAATAATATTTTTAATATCAGAATGTTATGATTTTTACTTTTTCCTTTATAAAAGGTCACTCATTACTACATCTTCCAAACTAATCTCTCCCGTTAGACAATCTTAATTAAGGGCACATGACCTGCCAAAAAGTTTGGGAAATAAATTCAGGCAGTCTGCCTACTTATAGATTCTGACTATTTATAAGTTGAAGGGTAGAAAATAGAAACTGATAATGTGAACTAGCATAAAAAAA